AAGAAGAAGTGAATTATTAAAGTGTTGGGACAAACCATGACTTAGAAGTTTAAAAAAGAAACACATTATTCAACATTAGTTTAGGGTTTTCCCAGCTTAAGCTCTGTAAACCTATCTTCTCCACACATCTGCTCTCTCAGGGATTCTCTAAGTAACTTAAAACTAATTTTACCTTAATGAAAAATGTTGATATTTTAGTTTTTTCATAGGAGATTCTCATAGCTGATTAATTACATATTATGAAAACACAGTACATTAAGTTCTCACTAACTAACAATTAACCTTCTGAAAATCATCATTACTACATAATATTAAACTCTGGTGTTATATAAGATAATACTGTTGGTCATTTCCAGTCTCTGTAATTATTATACTGCTTTATAAACTATCAAAAATATAATTTTATATGTGTGTGTTGAGTTGACCTTTTAAAACATTTCAATTTAAGCTTGCATAGTATCACTAATCATCTGAGAAATATCCAACTGTGTTCTTAAAGAAATTTCTCAGTCAACTAGACTATATCTTGACTATACTGACCATGAAAAAACTCATTATCAATGCAAAAGTTATTCCAAATATACACATAGAACACTGACCATAGACAAGCAATAGTGGACATAAAGACATGAGAATGAGGGAAGAAAGTTTCATTACCAGTATAAATTATCAACAAAAGAAAACTTATAGAAGATGATGAATAAGGTTTAAGGAACAGATGAGAAAGAAATTTGAGAAAGTTCCTGAAGAAAGGGAAAGATACAAAGAAAACTTTACCTCAGCAATAAAAGAGTGGACAAGTAAAACTGGACAAGTAAAATAGAAGGAATGAAAAAATGAGGCACAAAATGTGGAACAAACAGGTAGAAAAAGCCATAAAGGAGAAAAAGAAAGCTTTAAAAAAATGTAAAAAAAAGACAAGTAGAAGATGATTATGTAATCTATCACACAGCCAGTAAAAAAAAGCAAACAAAATGTCACGGAAGAAGTTTGGAGAAGAGCTGGTTCAGAAATGTGAGAAAGAACCAAGAAAGTTATGTAAATGTAAAGTAAATAACATAACAGAATGAGCCCCTCACCCTATAACAGTAATTATTGATGAAAAAGGAAATCCATTAATGGATGATGAGAAAATTTGGAGTAAGATAGGCAGATTACTTTGAACAACTTTTGAACTCTTGAGAGCAAAGCAAACTTTCAAGAAACAAATCCAATTTATTTCAAGTTATGAAAAGCCTGATATTCTAAGAAGTGATGTTGAACAAGCAATAAAATCAAGTCCTTGAAACAAAGAAGCAGATGTTGATGGAATAAGTGCAAAAGCCATAAAAGCACTTGAAGAAGTTGGGTATTATGGCTAACAAGAATTTTTAATATCACATAGTATGAAAGAAAAGTACCAAATGACTATATCAACATAGTAAAACAAAGGAAGTAAAAGAGATTGTGACAAGTATAAAGGGATAGGATCTCTCTATTAAGCCATGTTACAAAGATGTTTGCAAAAAGCCTAGAAAAGAGAGCAAGATGCAATGCACGGATGGGGTCTTGCAAAGAAAAAAGTTGCACTAATGCCATATTCCCACTATGAGAGCTGAGTAAAAAGACAATAGAACAAAATCAACAACTAAATCCAGTTTTTATAAAACAGGAAAAAGCATTTGACTGGATTTACAGAGTTTCAATACGGACAATATTAGAAGATTATGGTGTAATGGGTAACTTACCAGACAAAACATAAGATCTTTGTATAAGAGTAGCAAAAGTACTGTTAGAACATCAAGTAGACTGACAGATTGGATAGACATAACATTTAGCAGATATCGAGGATGTGTCTTCTCATGTCTACTCTCTTCATAATATATATATGGACCAGATCACAAAGGAACCAATTTAATGCCAGAAAAACTCAATGAACTCATACTCAAAGATGATCAGGCCTTGTTCGACAGATAAAAAGCAAGTTCAAGACCATCTTGATAAACTAAACATCCAATGCAAGAAGTGTAATATGAGAATCAGCAAGGTCAAAAGAGAAATGATGAGCATTGGGAAAACACAACTACAGCTGAATATTGAAGAGACCAAACTGAAGCAAAGTAAGGAGTTCAAGTATCTTGGAAGCATGTTCAGTGAAGATGCCAAATTATACAGAGATAGAAATCAGATGCCAGAAAGCAAACAAATAATCTATCAGATGTTCCACCCTGTATTCCCTTAAAGTCATCCCTTTAAATATGAAAAAAACACAAAAAAAACACTTATCAACAGTGTATTTAAACCGAAACATGGACTATCAGTAACAGAACTAAACAGAATAACATCATGCAAAATGAGATGCTTCTGTAAACCTGTAGGCAAGACCAGACTAGATAAAGTGAAAAACAAAACAATCAGACAAACAGCTTACAGTGAGACCAGTACTGAAACATACAGAGAAGCAGAGATTGACATGGTTCAGCCATTTGGTAGAAATGAATCCAGAGCAGCTACCAGCAAGAGTATATAAATTACAATAACAGGAAACAGAGGCAGAGAAAGACCAAGGAAGCATTGGATCAATGGTGTCAAGGACCAGTTAAAAATATGAGACCAAGAACTGCTAAAGTGTCATACATTGCCCTGGAAAGATGTTTGTATCTACCAAGTAATTTTATAATTACCCTTAATTTATACTTGCCTTTCTTGAACTTTTTAAAGAAAGCAAAACAAGAAGTTAAAAAAAAGCAAATTTACCTGCCATCATCACTTTGCTTATCAGCACGTTCCTGTCCTTTCTGAACCATAAACGACCGAAGTTTTCTGTCACTATCAACCATTCTTTGTAGTTCTTTAATTTCTGTAGTATACTGAAGTTGTTCTTTTTCACTTCTCTCTCTGAGCTGCTGAATTTTAGACTGAGCTTCATCTCTGTAAAATGAAGAATCTATTTGTCATGCTAGGAATATGAAAATCTTAAATTTGAATGTAATATTTATGATGAAACATTAAGCTATCTTCATAGTAGTTTCAGGTATGAGCACAGCTATCAAAACAAAATAATTAAATCATTGTTTTCATTGAAATAAAACTTAGTACAAAATTAAATCTTACCATTATAAAGAACATCACAACAAGTACTTCTATATGACGGAACTGAATGTTTATTTGGATAAAATGACATATTTTAACAGTATCTGTTAAAATAGTGCTAAAAAATATGAAAAGTTATAAACCTGGACAACCACATTTCTTGGATGATGAGTGTCCAAAATTAAAACAAATAAAACTTATATTTGTGGAAACATTTAGAAAATGTTTGGAAATTGAACATTCAGTTTTATAAGCAGAAAGAAAAAATTAAATACGTGTATCTGGAAAACATTTTGAAAAAATTTCTACCAAAAAAGTTATTTTGAGTCATCTGTAAGAAAATCTATTGTTACGACAGCAGGGGTCATGTGACGAGTATTCTAGATAATTTGCGATAAACACTAGTGTGTTACGACAGCGGAAGTCAAGTGACTCTGGTAGCATGTGTTGAGAGCCTAGAAGATTCTAGAAGTGGCGGTATTATCGTATATAAGTGTGCTAGACGAAGGAGAGTGAGAGAGAAGGAGAGAGAGTGGGGAACCCAGGACAGCAGTTATGGTTGGCGGGAACTGAGGATAGCAGATACAGAGATCAGAACTATAGTTGCTGACAGGCGGAGATAGAGACGC